GCTTCCGATGGTAATGAAGCTACTGCTTCAGGTGTAGAAGCAATGTCAACAGGATATGTGAAGTCGGCGATGAAATCTGCTACTGCTTGGCCCTTCTCAGCTGGCTTTGGTTGGTAGGAGATGTCAAACTCACCCAACGCTATTGCCCATTTGATCATTCGCCCTGAAGTGTCAGGACTTTGGAGTATCTGTCGAAGAGGGATAATTGGTAAGCACGATGATGGAGTGCGCTTGGAAGTAAGGGCGGAGTTTTCGAGCAGACATGACCAATGCCAGAGCCAATTTCTCAATGTTAGAGTACCGTGTCTCCGCATCTTGTAAGGCTTTGCTAGCGTAGTAGACAGGTCGCTCAATATTCCCATCCTTTCGAATGAGAACGGAACTTACGGCTGAAGCTGATACCGATAGGTAGATAATGAGAATGTCTCCTACCTCGGGCTTGGAGAGTAGAGGGGCTTTACTCATGTACTCCTTGAGGTTTTTGAATGCCTCGGCACATTCATCAGTCCATGTAATGTACTTCCTACTTCCCTTAAGTGCTTTAAAAAAGGGAGCACATTTGTCTCTGTGGCCTTAGAAAGAAATGAACCTGGTTAAGGCTGCCACCTTGCCAGTAAGGCTCTGGATGTCCTTTGAAGTTACCGGTTCCTTCATGTCGAGGATTGCTTTGATCTTCTCGGGATTAGCTTCAATGCCTCGTTGGCTAATCATGAAACCTAAGAATTTGCCAGAGCCTACGCCGAAGGCACATTTGTTGGGGTTTAACCTCATTCGATACCTCTTCAAAATAGTGAAAGTTTCATATAGGTTGGTGATGTGTTGGTCAGCATGTTTGCTCTTGACTAACATATCATCAACGTAAACTTCCATGCTCTTCCCAATCTGCTCGGCGAACATTGAGTTGACTAGTCTCTGATAAGTCGCTCCTGCATTCTTTAGGCCGAAAGGCATGACTTTGTAGCAGTATAGTCCTCTGTCGGTAGTGAAGGCTGTGTGTTCTTGATCCGAAGGGTTCATGAGGATTTGGTTGTATCCTGAGTAAGCATCCATGAAGCTCAGGAGTTCACACCCGGCCGTAGAGTCTATAAGTCTGTCAATAAGAGGAAGAGGGAAGCTATCTTTCGGACACCCTTTGTTTAGGTCGGTGTAGTCAACACACATTCTCCACAAGACCTTTTGAAGCAAAAGACTTTCTTTGGTCGGATTTTTCTTAACAAGGACCACATTTGCTACCCATGTCGGGTAATTGACTTCGCGGACAAAGCCTATGCCTTTGAGTTTTTCAACTTCTGCTTTCATTGCCTCGTATCGTTCAGCGTCATAAGATCTTCGCTTCTGTCTCACCGGCTTGATCTTGGGGTCAATACTCAAACGATGACAGATGACATCGGGAGAGATGCCTGGCATGTCCTCGTATGACCAGGCGAAGACTTCAGTGTTCTCTTTCAAAAAAGATATCAATGCTAACCGAAGGGGTGGTGACAATGTGGTGCCAATCTTCACCATGCGATCTGGATAATCTCTTGAGATAGGTACCTTCTCCAACTCTTCAGCAGGTTGGGCTTGCTGGGTGAAAGAGTCATCTCGAGGATCATCGGGTTGATTGTTGCTATCAGGAAGATCCAAGTTCGCTTCATCTAGGCTGGTCTTTGTGACTTGGTCATGTACAGACAGGGTTTCCTTGGGTCCGGGCAAGTGTTGTTGCTTAACTGAAGTGTTGTAACATGATCGTGCACTAAGCTGATCTCCTCTGATGTAGCCGTTGCCATGGGGGGTTGGAAATTTCATCAACAGCATATGCGTGGATACCATAGCCTTGAGATCATTGATGCCTGTGCGCCCAAAGATGACATTGTATGCCGTTGGGCAGTCAACCACTAGGAAGTTAGTGGTAATGGTAGCCGTGTAAGGGCCTGTACCAATAGTAAAGGGTAAATGTATGCTCCCTAAGGGTTGCACGATATCACCGGAGAAGCTTATCAGAGGAGAAATCGAGCGATCGAGCAAGTGTTCAGCTACACTGAGTGCCCTGAAAGCTTCGGCAAACATGATATTGACCGAAGCCCCTGTGTCTACGAGGATTCGTCGAACATCAAAGTTGGCTATGTGAGCCTCCACGATCAATGGGTCGTTATGAGGGTAGATGATGCCTCTTTCTTCCTCAGGGTAGAAACATATCGGATCCCAGTTAGGCTTTTGATACTTCCCTCCCCTGATGTCTTCCACGTGAAACACTTGGTGACCAGGCCTCAGACTTCGTTCACTGTTTTTCATGGCCCTATTGGAAGATTCAGATATGGGTGTGCCGCCGCTTATGGAATATATGACATTCACCTGGCGTTGGTTACGGTTATCCCTTTGAGGGTGAAGAAGGAATTGATCAATTTTTCCTTCTCGTGCCAAAGCTTCAATACGATCACGGAGGAGGATGATACATTTCTCGCTATCATGGCCGTTATGCTCATGGTAGCAACAAAACGTGCCCGCGTTATTCGGGGGCGTGTAATCTGGGTGCCTCGGCTTTGGCTTTGGTATCAGGTGAGCTATGCTGGGGTAAATGGCCGCGCATGTGGCATTCAAGGGCGTGTATGTCTCATACCTTGGGGTAGGGGGTATCTTGACGCGGGTTTGACCCACTGCATTGACTGCCTGGGGGCGAGCGTTATTGTGGCGATACCCTTGGTTATCGGGATAGTGTCCCTTACTCTTTTTACTGAAATGAGAGTGGTGAGGATGGAAATCCTTCCTCTTGCCTTGAAATTGATATGTCTGTTGATTCGGCGAAGCATTATGCAAGGCATGGGGAGGTGCCACTGCTGTTTGGAAAGTCGAGGTCTTCTCATTTAGGTGAGTCTGGCTTCCACCTCCCACTTGTTGATAAAGGATGGTTGTAGGGGGTTTCTCCTGATATGTCTTTGCCTCGGCGGAGGCATGGTTATAAGCCTGCGCCATCACCTCAGAGTAAGTCTTCCAAGTATTGGCATTGATCATGTATTTAAAGAAACAATCACGTAGGCCTGCCGTGAAGGCTTTGAGGGCAGTCTTGTCGTCTGCCTCGGCACACCGGGAGTATTCATGGCTGAAGCGACCAGCATACATACGTAATGACTCGTCTGGCTTCTGGCGGATAGTGTACAGGTCATCTGCAGAGTGCAAGCGATCGGTTTGGAAAATGTGTTGGGAAACAAATAGTTTCCTCAATTCCTCAAATGAGTCTACCGTCTCAGGTGTAAGACGACAATACCAATTTAAGAGCTCCGCCAGAGAGGGTGGAGGGGAAGAGAAGACATCGCTCTTCGTCGGTGTGCATCCGGTATGCCATGGTGGACTCAAAGAGGTTAAGGTGCTCAATCGGGTCCTCTTTTCCAGTATAAAGTTGCAAGCCAAGCTTTTGCTTTGTCTTTCTTTGCTTGAAGGGGGGTGTTGAGGATCCTCCTTGTAAGAGGGCCAGGCCTGGGTTGGTTCCAGTCAGGTATTTCAGCCTGACGTTCAGCCTTCAACTTGTTTACTTCCTCAATAAGTTGTAGGACAAGGGGGTCTTGAGCGGAGTTATGTGCCACTGGAGCTTTCTTTCGTAAATCTCCATCTCCTCTTGGAATTAGGAAGGTTTGATCAAGGGCATGTGATTTTTCCCTGGACTCGTTGTACTGGCTTCCAGGGTATGTCTGTCGGAACACCTCTGAGTCCCCTGTACCCTCATGTCTCTCTAGGACTTGTTGCCCCTTCCCCAAATTGGTGGCCGGCTCGGGCCGTGGCAGGGGACCGAGTCTCTCAGAAATCCTTGGGTCATTGATCTTTGAGCTTATATGGATGGAATTCTCTCGACGTTGCTTCAGGAAATCCCGACAATCGCGAAAGACGGCTTTCGATCCTTCTGCCCCTTCAGCAAAGAGGTGTCTCCCTCCACTTCTCATGGTTCGGGGTCGAAGCAACTGGGTTAAGAGAAGCCTCATGTTGATTATCAAGTCGAGGGGTAATCTGTTCCCTATCAGGGATATCTATGTCGAATGCATGTGACCCTCCATGTTGGAGGGCACCCAGTTGATGGTTGACTTCCACGGGGGCAACAAGCTCGCGTGTCTGAGCTTGCCTAGCTTCGTGGAGTGTCTCGAAGAGCTTCTCATATTGCTCCTGGAGGACCTCATTCCTCATTGCTATCTTGTTGTTCTGAGCTTCCAACTCATCGACTTTAGCTTGAAGAAGAACTCGTTTTCCTTCCTTCTTTCGTTGTTTCGCACTATGTGCAAGGGGGGTGTCATTCTGTGTGCTGTGGCTTCCTTCGCTTCCCATGTTGGAGAGGGATGCCTGATCAAAAGAAAGTGTACGAATGATAGAAACCAGCTTGACACAGCTGAAGAGAGTAGGAATAAGTGTCGTTTCCCACAGACGGCGCCAAATGTTGATGCACAAAATCAGCGAAGACTTTGGTACAACAGAAAGTGTCAGGTTTTGTGACCTTCGCTTGGTTGCTTGGTTGCTTCAGTCACTAGTGAGGATAAGTACGTAAATGAATAGAGACAGAGAAGCAAACACAGGATGTACGTGGTTCACCCAGATTGGCTACGTCCACGGAGTAGAGGAGTTCTTATTAGTAGTGAAGGGCTTACACAAGTAGAAAGGATCAAGCTCTCAATTTAGTGAGTTCTTGTGAATGATTTAACACAAAATGGCATTAGGCCATATTGTGGGGGAATGACCCCTATTTATAGAAAAACTTGTAGCTTTGTCACATTGACATGTGTCATGTTGTGATTGGTTCTTGATGTCGACACGTGCTGCGCTCTGATTGGCTTCTAATCTTGACACGTGTCGAGTAGTGATTGGCCTCCTGGTCGGAGGGGAACTCTTCTGGGTCCTTGACAGTATAGCGTTGGCCGGTGCTCGGTAGTTTCGGGATTGGTCAAGTATGGTACAAACAACATTGAACTGAGCTAGCAAGTTATTTAGAAGACTTATGGAAATTAAATAATACGTCTTTCTGTATTTTGCAAACTGAACAGCAAGCGTGAAGATGTATACCGCGTCGTCAAAGCTTTTGCTGCAAGAGGGGAGTGGGTGAATGCTGAAGCAAAGTACTATACCCAGGCCTTGGTAAGGAGGAAGAACATTTTTGTAGTTTTATTTTATTTTGCTTTGTGGATTTTTTTCTTTCTCCATCTATTATATTTACTTTAAAATAATCTGTTGTCTTGATAATGTTGCCTGAGGCTTTCTTCATCATATGAAAAAGAAAATGCTGGATGTTGATTCCTTTCCAATCAGTGACAGATGAGAGACTTTGAACGCAATGGGTTGAATCTTACTTTAACTAAGACAGAGGAAATGCAACGCTTGAGAGTCCAAATCAATGAGCTAAGTTTGCGGTATATTCAAAATTTAAATGATGAGAGTACTTTCCTTCTCTTCACTGAGGCTGAGTTGGCTGGGTTACCGCCAGAGTTTCTTAAGGTGTAGTAATTTATCCCTCATTTTTTTTGTGCAAGCTTACCTTCGTGGATGCCACTGTATGAAAGTTTACTTACCTTGACAGACTCAACGGTTAAATCTCTTTCCATATCCTTGACCGACTCATCATTTATTGCCAAACATCTTGTGTAAACTTAGTTATCTTCTGCGTAACTATTTTTACTATCTTAGTTATCTTCTGGGTAACTATTTTTATTATTTATTCGCAAAAATACAGAATAAACATTGTAAATAAAATGTGAATAAGCTTGTTACTATGTACATTGCCTGTTAATAGATCACTGAACGTGTTTCATTTAGAAAATAAACATTTTCCATGCGCAGAGCTTAGGTAAAGTTGCAGATGGTAAATTCAAGGTGACCCTGAAAAGTCATCATGTGGCAGCAGTACTTGAACTTTGCGAGGTATGATCTATTGAGTTCATACTGAAGGCAATTTTGTAGTTCTGCAATTTTTGCCCCAAAAGCCAGTGACAATTTTATCAACATTGTCATTAAGTTTGTTAAGTAATTTGATAACTTCATAATCTTTATTAATGTCGTTGACAAATTCATTTTGAGCCTTTGTGAAGGTTGGAACAACAAGGAGGATGGTAGCAGTGGCATATGGAAAGAGGGGTGGAGAAGTCAATCTTTCTATCTTAGAAGATTTGGTAAAGCAATTTATTTTCTACTTCTGATTATTTTACTTCCAATTAGATAGTCCATCTTCAAATCAATTTTAGTCATGTAGATCCAGAAAAAAATTATTTATCAGTTAACCATTTGTCTAACTCCAAATTATCTATATTTCCAAAAGGCTTTTTAGAAGTTCAATTTTCTTGGTCATCAGATAATTCTCTTTAGCCCAATAAAAAATGATATATTTTTCGAAGTATTTATAGGAATAGCCGACATTCACCTCTCCCAGACCTTGCGTAAAGCAGGAGCCTTGTGCACTAGGGACGACCTTTTTTACGTATTTATAGGAATAGCATAGGTGACATGCATGGTTTTTTAATTATAAAAACTAAAGCTGTTATTAGTCTTCTTCTCTCCATAAATAATCAATGTATTGGGGTTAACTTTCTAAGTGGTGTTGATTTTCTTTGTCTCCTTACATATCTCACTATTGTTACGTTGTTAATTATGATGATGAAAATTGTGTCTGATATTTTGTTTGTTTAGGTTCAACTGCGCCATAAATTTGCTCGGTTACTTGGCTATTCAAGTTATGCAGATTATGCAGTTAATCTTAGAATGGCAAAGGCACCCTCAAAGGTTTGTATGACAGTACATTTTTCTTAAGATATTCATCGTTCAACTGTTTTTCTATTCCATGTCAATTTAGATAGTATTTTTGAGGTGCTGTGATAACAATGAAAGTTTTATTGCCTGATGGATGAGAGATGCTGCCTTTTTTATGGCCTGATGGATAAGAGATAAACCGTCTAATTTTCAATATTTATTTCCATTTGCTCTTTATGGGAATCATCTTCAACATTTATGTCCGTTGCTCACAATCATTTCTTGTAGCTCATATTTATGAGGGTGACTATTCAGGTTTTTGAGTTCTTAGAGGACATCTCCAATAGTTTGACTGGCGCAGCTACCATGGAGCTTTCCATGTTGAAAGATTTGAAGGTTAGAATATCTTTTTTAGTTCCCACTGGTTTGATTTGTTTCATGGCTGATTGTGTTCTATCTTATGTGTGGTATCAGAGAAAAGAGGAAGGAGACCATCCATTTGGAATTGAGGATCTGCTATACTATGTCAAGAAGGCTGAAGCACAGCAGTTTAATATGGATCTTGGAGCTCTTAAGCAATACTTTCCAGTAAATTTGGTTATATCTGGGGTGTTCAAGATAGTGCAAGACCTTTTTGGTAGTTCTTTATGATATTATAATATCCCATAAACTTGTTCTTTTCATTAAGTATACTAGTGATTGTTGAACTCTTATTTTTATTTTGTGTAGGTTTAAGATTTGTGGAAATTAGAGATGCTGAGGTTTGGCATTCTGATGTCACCATATACTCAGTCTTTGACTTAAGTTCTGGTGAACTTTTGGGTCATTTCTACCTTGATATGTTCATAAGGTCAAAGGAGGTCTTCCTTTATAGATTTAGTTCATCCTCTATGTTATTTATTTGAGTCACTAACAAATGGGTTTATGTTGTCTGTGAACAGGGAAAGAAAATATAACCATACCTGTGTGGTTGCTCTTCAAAATGGTGCATTATCAACGAATGGATCATGTCAGGTTGTGTTTTCAGTTTATAACCATAAATATTATCCATGTAATTTAAGCTTTGTTGTCAGATGGAAATTGATGTTTAATAGCTGTAGTAAAAGAAATATTGCTTTTGGTCATGTTGGGTGATCTCCTCTCCTCGAGATAATTAGAAAACTCTTTTGAACATGGCTCCTTTAATTTTTGTGTAAAGCTCCAATTTTCTTCTCATTTTCATGTGATGAATCATATTAATGTAGAGATTAGAGAATCATATGCAGATTGAAATTTTATAATTTCATTGATCTTGTGATACAACTTACCTTTTGTTTATTTGTTTGTAACCAGATTCCAGTGGCGTTACTGATATCTCAATTCCAAAAGGATGCTGGTGGTCAACCTGCACTACTAAGATTCTCCGAAGTTGTGAATCTTTTCCATGAGTTTGGCCATGTGGTATTTTTTCATCATTCACATACTTTCTCAGTAATCTGCAGAACTTTTCTTTGCTACATGCTATTTGTTCTTAGAAACTCTTCTGTAGAATGCATAAATCTTTGCAATTCAAAATGTTGCACCCTCGTTCCCTTACCTTCATCCTTTACTGTTCCCATCTTTACTAACTCAAAAGTGGCTAGTAAGTCTTTAACAGCTTTCAGAGGACATTACATAGGTCAGGAACTTTATATGTTTAGGCTTGATGACATAGGAAAGGCTACGTGTGAATAGTAAGAAGCACAATACTGACAGAGGAATTCCTCAACGTCTAGATTATGCGGTATGGTGCAGAGATTAAGGCCTTTGGCAGTGTGTTCCACAATGTTGCTCCACAAGTAGGAATGCGCTAAAACGGGAACTTTGAGTGCAAATGCTTTGCCATTATGAGAAATACCTGTGGTAAAGTCCACTAACTTCCAAGGATCCACCCTAACTTAAGCCTGGTTGGTGTCCTTTAATTGGCTAGCAAGAATTAAAAGAAGTGCATATGCTTCCACTCGTTCTGCAAAAGGTGCATGGGATTAACAGCCACTAACATGCAACCTGCATATTTGTGAAGATCTATTAGTCAAATGAGAAGATGAATAAGTTATCGAGTCTCCTAGATGTTTTGAGAACTAACAAGCTCAATTGATGTTGTCTCAATGACGGCATATCGGAACCTCTTTAAGTTCTTTTAAAGACATTAACTAATGAATGAATATCCTTTTAAGTTTGAAATAACGAATCTTGGAAAGATGTTTAAATAATTGGAATGAACCCCTGCTATAGTTAATTTGATCGTAGAAACAGATTCAGCCTGGAACATCATTTTCTGGATTTGGCACTTCATTATGAGTTGCCCATAAATAACAGGTTCTTCTGTGAATTATAAACCTTCAGGTCCAACATATATGCAATCGCGCATCGTTTGCCAGATTTTCTGGGCTGGGTTTTGATCCAGATTTTGTAGAGGTTCCTGCTCTGGTGCTGGAGAACTGGTAATTAATGAATCATATTGTTCCCTTTTATGATTATGCATGGCCCAACTTATTGCTTCGTAACTGTGTAAATTTCAGGTGTTACGAAAGCTTCACTTTGAAGTTGATATCTGGTTTCCATCTGGTAACTCATGTTCTAATATTATTGTTGTTGTTTTAAATTGTAGTACATGCTTTAGAAATCAACGTGCTCTCCCCCTCCCCAAAGGGAACTTGTCATGTTTTTTTCAGCTATATTGAATGAGTTAAATTGCTGATATCTCTTGAATTTACATGTAGGATATAACAAAGCCTATCAAAGATGAAATATGTAAATCGATTAAAAGATGGAGATATTCCTTTTCTGCGCTTAAAATGAAGCAAGAAATTCTCTATTGTAAGTCTTCTTACTATAGAAACTGCACTTCATAAATTAATCGAAGAATCGTTTTTCAGGCTGTGTTTGTTTCATAGGAAAATTTCTGTTACAGTTTTTGTCCTTGGAAAGTATTTGTTGTCCTTTTGCTTTTTGATTGGTTTGGTATTGATTTGGATTTCTTGGAATAGTTTGTGAAAGGAAAAAGATCACTCAAACATCGAATTGTTATTGTCGAGGCAGCTATTTCAACTTTTCATGCACATATCTTGAAACCCACTACATTGTCAGGTCTTTTTGATCAGATTAGACATTCTACTGAAAACGTTGACATGGCTGAGTTATTCAAGCATCTTCATCCAAGGGTATGTAGTTGTTTCCAGTAATTTCTATGCAAAGTTGCAGTATGGGATATTATTATTGACCCTGTTTTATCAGATCATGTTAGGTTTGCCAATGTTGGAAGATGTCAATCCTGCGTCATGTTTTCCATCTAGTGCCATTGGTCACGAAGCTGCTTGTTACAGCCGTATTTGGAGTGAGGTTTGTCACCCATCCATTATCGAAAAGAGTCAAGCAACGTATCCTTGTTACTTCGTTTCCCAAGTTTGCTACAACAATTGTCAATTGTGGTTGTATTGCCCAATCCAATGATTATGTTTGAAGAATTTCAATCTTATCATCCGTGATTCTGCGACAACCACCGCTGATGTCTCAAATGTTTCGTGTAGGTTGTTGCGGCTGATATATTTGCTTCAAAGTTCCATGAGAGTTATCTGAACCAGTATGTTGGTATGCAGTTCAGAAACAAGGTAAAGAATTTGTTCGATAGGAAGGAGTGTTGCCAACTTTTGCTTCTATTTCCCTTCCATGTTCGTTTGAATTTGTATGGAGCATTGGCATCCTTGTTCGTCTCCCTCAGAATCTTTTAATTAATACTGGTATAGTCTAATCCCCGTTCTGTAACTCCGTCATTTAATTTTATTCTTATCGTCGTTGTAGATATTGGCCCCAGGAGGAGCAAAGGAACCCATTGAAATGTTAACTGGCTTTCTTGGGAGAGAACCGTCAATTCAAGCTTTTATCAACAGCAGATCACAATGCCAATTGTGATGCAGACAGAAGTTGCCAACCCTATTCTCCGATAACAACATTCAGTATCCCGTTTGTGCTCAAAATGAGTTTTATCGGTCATCTTCGTAGCGTTTGTAGGTTGCTTTAAGTTAGCATTGCAATTTTGGTCTCGAAAAGCTAGCAACTATCGTTCTTGTAAGTATTTGTCTAACGTTAGGTATACCAAATTTTTAGACCACATTTGCAAATCATGTGATGTGTCACTAATAGAAAATAAACACGTTAATCAACATTTAATTAATAATTTAAGGTTTTTTTATTAGCACATCTCAAATTTTTTATTACACCCCACGTATTGAAAAAACCTTACACTTACTTTTTAAACTAAACATTATCTTAATACACCCCATTTTCTTACTCAAATTACCCTCACATCCCAATTGCTATCACATTAGAGCATATTCAGGGAGAAATCAATTTCGAAACAAGAAATGTAACTCTTGCTTCATTAACATGGTCCAATACATTAAGAAGCTGCTCATCTCAAGGCGTCTTGAAAACCCATACTCGGAGAGAAGCCGTCTTGCTCTCCCATATTGTTTTCCAAGTGGGTTGGATCGCATCGAACAGCTTCTGGGAAAAAAAGTTGAGGGCTTGTCTTTTTTGTGTGCATGAACACTTCATTAACATGGTCAAATACACAGTGCATGCAGAAACCCAAATTTACTGTCACCATTTTTTACAGAACCCCACATATCCAACACCAAAATTTCCTTAAAAAAGAGGGGTTTTAAATAGGGGTGGGTTCAAAAAATCGAAAACCGAAAAAAACCGAAAACCAAACCGAACCGAAACTGAAAAAACCGAACCGAACGAAAAAACCGAACCGAATTGAAAAAACCGAACCGAACCGAATTCTTTTGGTTCGGTTCGGTTTTAGTGATCTAGAAACCGAACCGAACCGAATTAATTAAATTAATTTTTTTATTTAATTATTTGTTTTGGGTATTATTTTCTAAACCCAATTTGTAAGTTAAAATGTGCTAAACCGAATGCATTGCCAAACTTTAAGCTCAAAGTATTAAAAAAATGCCTATAAAAACTCTAAACCCTAACCTATTATTTCTCCCCCATATAAGGTTCCGGAACCAAACCTCCTCCTGAAGTACCTAAATCCATCTCCATAACACTGTCTACTTCTGCCTCAGCTTTCTTTTCCAAATCTACTCTCATATAACATGTAACAGAATCCATAAACATTTATTTCGGGTAGATTACTTGCGTATTTTGTGATGGAAAAGAATCCAACACACACTAAATAAATCCACCCACGCATTACTTTTACTAATCAAGTTGTCAACATGCAGTTACAAGCAAACAACCCTGATCTTTGAACAACATCATAAAATTTAACTTTTCTAAGTTATTTGTACGATTTTTGTGTTGTGAGTGTTTTTTGTTTGGAAGGACTTTGGAAGACTTTGATGATTTTAGTTTTTCAACTTTAAATGTTTAATTTTCATTTCATTGATTCTAGTTAGAATGTTTATGTTATGATTGTATTGGAGATGTTAAAATTTTAAATTTCAATGTTTTTCATTTTTTGAAAAAAAAAAACAAAACAAAAAACTGAAACCGAACCGGAAAAAATCGAACCGAAAAAAATGAACCGAACCGAACCAAACCGAAATTTCGGTTTGGTTTTGGTTTTGGCAAAAAATCGAACTGATTTGAACCGAACCCACCCCTAGTTTTAAATCATTTTGAACAAAGCCCGGATGAAATTATTGGCAAATTTTCAGAAACGGATGATTAGAATAACCCAAAAACAAAAGTAGTGAGAAAAATAAGAATGAGGGCATATAAGTAATTTCATATTAGGCATATAAGGCATTTGATATTAACATTTTATGTGGGGTGTATTCATCAATGTGTGAGGTGCCAATAAAACAACCCTAATTTTATCGTCAACAATCACCTCATATGGTTTACGAAATTTGGTCTAAGTAGTTGGTCTTCCTAGCATCCCCTTTCTTGAATAGGCTTTTTAGTCAAAATGGTCCCAGATATTTGCATAACACATATCCTTGAGATTTAAAATCAATAGAAGTTGACACGTCCCGACCCTGATATTCCTCGAATACCAGGATAGACACGTACTGGCCGACACCCGAGGGTGACGAAAGCCATTAATTGATTATAAGAGAAATGATTAGAAGAAAATATTCATGAATAACATAAGAATTTAAGAGTAATAAACAAAGTTCAAGGAAGTGTCTAGAGTGAACCAGACACAATCTAAAACAAGATTTACAAAAAGGAAAGATCATTACAAGATATCACACAGGTGAGTGATAGATTGCTACTGGTAGGGGAATGCCTCGTATGTCGTCTCGTAGTCCTCGTTTCTATGACCTGAATGGGGGTGCAAAATAAAGGTGAGTGAACCAAGTTCATATATACGATAATAATAAAACATTTATCAAGATACTAACCCCTACAGTTTAATAATGAAAACTACTAGCATAATAAGTGATGGATTTAATAAAAATCATAGCATGCCCAAAAATATCTCAAAAGTCATATCGCATAAATCAAAACAGTAAACATATCATAAATCATCTTGTAAGCGCGGTGTGCTGCTAGAAATATCACTAAATAATATAACTCCCGACCCAATACCTGCTTCGTGGTCTCTGTGCCCGTAGCTAGAGATTACCAACTCCCGGCCCAATGCCTACTCCATGTCCCTCAGCCTGTAGCTAAGGATTACCAACTCTCGGCCTAAATGCCAACACCAGATCCTCACCCCAGGCAGCATAGTGTCCTTTAATTACGCACAAATAGTTTCGCCTCTCATAAATAACCACTTCATAGTATAAAGTCATCCATCGTCTATACTATAAAGAGTGGTTTCTAAAATATGTTCTAGCATCCTATCGTCATCCATTAGATAGTCTACCAAATCATGGTTTTTATAGAAAATACGATATATTAGGCTAATAATTAATTCCTCACCAAAAACACGAGACGAAAATCAACATATTCAATAAACATGCTTATCATAAATTGAATCATAAGTTCGTAGGCATGCTAATCATTTATGCAATTAATTTATAAAATCATGTAATTTTAGAAGGGGTCCACTCACAAATATTCCTTAGCAGAAGAGTCGCGCAAATAAGGATTAAGAATTTCTCCACTAGCAACTTTACCTAAGCACAAAAATGTAATAAATAAATAAAAAGGATTTTCTAAAAGATTGGGCTTTAACTAAATAAAATAAGGAAATTGGGTTTGGATGGGTTAGGCCCTAATAGGTTTTATAATTCTAAGGCTTTAGGGTAAAAAGGCTTTAGGGTGAGGAAAGGGGGTTTGAGCTTAAGCCTAAACACACACACACAAGCACGACATGCACATGCATACATGGCATGCATATACACACACGCACACATGCACCTAAACACACACACACACACGCTAAACACACACACACACACACGGGCTGCACAAAGGTCGGCCCTAACAACACACACACACACCACAAAGGCCCTAAGGCCTCACAAAATAAAAGGTTGGGCTTTAAGCCCTTTAACCAAAAACCGGCCCAAGGCCCTTTGGGTTTTTAAAAACAAATAAACTAAAAATAAAAAGAAACGGGATGGGGTTTTGGGCTGAAGCATAATGGGCTTAAGGCCCGAAGGTGGTTCTAAACGGCCTGAGAGGCCTGGTTTGCCGAGAAAGAAGAAGGCTAGAGTTGCTACAGCTCCAGTCACTTGAAAACAAGGGCTCTAGGCTCCGATCTAAGTACGAACATGAAGAACAAAAGGAGAGGAAGAGATTGCTACCTTCCAATAATCGTAACACGGTCGGAGGTGATCGGAAATGCCCTCGAAGCTCACGGGTTCGCCGAAAAATGGGTGTGCTCAACCCAATTCGATTCCGAGGCAAAACCTACGTAAAAAGGGAATGATTTGATTCAGAAAACACAACCAAACATCACTCTAAGAGAGAGAAGGAGAGATTTCTGACTTACCCCAACGGAAAAAGAGAAAAGGTTCACCGGAGCTTTGCTCCGTGTCATCGAACTCGCAGGGCAAGGGTCCTGGGCTCGTTGTGAGCCTCCTCGATGGTGACACGGTCCTAGTGTCTATAGGAAGAGAGTGGTGCGAGAGGTTGAGGGAGAGAGGTACGGGAGAGTTGAGAGAGAGAGTTACAGGAGAGTTGAGAGAGACAGAGTACAGAGAGAGAGGAAGAAGAGAGAAGTCGGGGGGGGGGACAAAAAGAGAGAAAAGAAGGTGAGTTAGATGGCTGCCACGTGGCAGTTGGGGGGTGAAAATAACAAATAATACAATTATTTGGGGGTGGTTGTAACAGAAGTAGTCTATGAGATTGTCCACTATCCATTATTTTGGTCATTCCTTTAAAAAAATTTGTTAAGTTGAGGGTATAACACATAACTTTGGTCCTAAGATTAGCAAAACACATAATTTTGGTCCCTAAGATTAGCAAAACACATAATTTTGGTCCCTGAGATTTGCATAACACATAACTTTGATCCTTGAGATTGTCCACTATTCATAATTTTGGTTATTCCATTAAAAAGCTCAAGCACCACTTAATAGAGTTTTTTAATGGAAGGACCATTATGGATGGTGGACAATCTCAGAGACCACTTCTATTGATTTTAAATCTTATAGACCAAAGTTATGTGTTAGGCAATATCATATTGGCTAAAAAGCCTTCTTGAATATGGAAGACTTGTTGCTTAAACGACTGCCCCTTCCTGTTCATGCTGAAAATTGATTTGCGTGCTAGTGCATCCAAAATAATGAATAAAATGAAGAAATTATTGGCAGTTTGAGAATTTAATCACAATTTGCCATATCTGACTAATCCAGAAGATCACCTTGTGCGTTGACTGTTGACTTGGTGTTGCAAGCTGAGTTGAAGATTGAATATTTCCACCCGGGCTGCTCTTTTTCTCTCTTGAAATGAATTATGTGACAATTAATTCTTGGTACTTTTTTTTTTCATTATGAAAATTTTTATGGTGTTTCAGAGAGTCTTACTTTGAAATTTTTAACCGTTGGCTTGCTCTTATAGATTTAGAAAATTTTGTAGTAAGATCAGGTTAAGAAACTGCATACGTGACGTCCATTTTTTTATTTTGGAAGTGATGTTTTATTCATCATTGGTCTCGTTTGGTGTCAGTTAAAAGGTTAAGCTTCCGTCACGATTAATTTATCTTCTCTTTGTTCAATGTATCTGAATTAGTGAGTAATCCAATCTAAACCATTCATTGACTACTAAACGTGGTTTAGTAG